TATCATTGTTGTACTCTATTTCTGTGAAGATGTAGTTATTTCTTATATAGAGAGCAACTCCACCTCCTCTTTTATTTGGTCTGTTTCTTTTAAATAATTTAAATCCCTCTAGCTGTGTGTTCCATGTGTGAGTTTCATCCCACCATGTTTCCGTAATGGCAACAATATCGTATCTGCCCTCATTAACCTGAATTTCTAGTTCACCCTGTTTGCTGTTCATACTTTGTGCATTGGTGTATAAACATTTGAGTCCTTTGTGGGTGGCCCTGTGTTTCCTTTCTACATAACCTGTGTGGTGCCTGAGTTCCCCTATTGTCTTACCACCTATTTGGTTAGTGCACTTTATATGGCACTCGCTATTAGAGGCTTCATTTTGATTGGTAGCAAGGTTGGTATTCTTGTCCACACACACATCTGTGCTACATGCACTGATAGCCCTATAGTTTTTAAATTGCCGGGGACAGGGTTGTTCCGTATCAATTAACTCCCTGTCCCCGCTGTTTAGTTTAAATTTCCCTCCAGAAAATCTGTGAATTTATAGCCGAGTAACTCAGTCCCTTTTTTTGATGGATGCAAACCATCTCTTTTGTACATCTTTTGATTGGACCAGCTACTGACATCGTGACTAATATATCCAAAGCCTTCCCCTTTACACCACTCCTTTAGCCACATATTGAATTGTGCTATGCGCTGGCCTTTTCCGTTTTGCTCCTTATACACTGGTAAAACCTCTGAGAAAGTAAGCCTACAGCCTATTCTGCTAAGTTCCTTCCCCAAGCTCTGGAAATCATTCTGCACAGAGAGTACATCTTTTTGGGACAGATCATTAGTGCCAAGATGTACAATAGCCTCCACATCACAGTCCTTGCTGCCATTCTTGATTATTTTAGAAATACGCTTCTTGTCCCTACTGGCAGTAGCACCTGGAAGACACCTGACCTCTTTCAAAGCCTCTGTGTCCTTTCCTAAATTTACATCCCTTATAATTGAATCACCTACCAGAAGGTAGCTTCTCTTTTTGGGAGCCTTTCTATTCTTGCATGACTGATGTGCAATACCTGATTCACACTTCTCCCTATCAAAATCTAGTTCTTCATCTCGGACCACAATCCCCTGCTTATTTGAGTTATCTTCACAAATACCTTTACCAGTCTCCTTAATGTCCCTATTAAGGTCAGCAAGAGCACTGTAGCTGTTGTGCAGGGACACAGCGAAAGCTTTGTGTTTATGGTTCACAGCTCTCACCCTGCCAGATCCCACGGTTGTCCACACTGCCCTTTTCCTGCAGGATCTTTGTGGTAAAGGGGGCTGATAGCAGGGAGGCTTACTAGAGTAGAGGGGCTGAACTGGACACCTAATTTCTGCCCGAAGAGCACGGATTACAGACCCTAGGTAAATGATCTGTCCTTGTAGGCTAGTGATTTGTTTACAGATAGGACAGTTTCCAAGTTTGAAAAGGGTACTGCGAAAGACGGCTGCAAAGCAGGTGTTGCACTGAACTAAGCCGGACATCTTAGATACAGGGGATGTCAGACACACTTGCCCTGAATGTACTGCTACTGTTTGTGATTTTTAGTTATATAGTTATATAATTCGCGCGCCGTTAGGCGCGCGGGCCGCTACTTTCCTGGTGGATTCTCCCAAAACTTACAGTTTAAGCAGCAGCTGGTGGAATGTAGCACGTTCCAGCAACCCGATCAGAGTTGGAATGGGGTTTAAATAGAGTATAATACCCTATAAATATAATGGAGATCCAATCAGGGCCTTGCTACTTTCCTGGTGGATTCTCCCAAAACTTACAGTTTAAGCAGCAGCTGGTGGAATGTAGCACGTTCCAGCAACCCGATCAGAGTTGGAATGGGGTTTAAATAGAGTATAATACCCTATAATATAAATGGAATGATCCAATCAGGGCCTTGCTACTTTCCTGGTGGATTCTCCCAAAACTTACAGTTTAAGCAGCAGCTGGTGGAATGTAGCACGTTCCAGCAACCCGATCAGAGTTGGAATGGGGTTTAAATAGAGTATAATACCCTATAAATATAATGGAGATCCAATCAGGGCCTTGCTACTTTCCTGGTGGATTCTCCCAAAACTTACAGTTTAAGCAGCAGCTGGTGGAATGTAGCACGTTCCAGCAACCCGATCAGAGTTGGAATGGGGTTTAAATAGAGTATAATACCCTATAAATATAATGGAGATCCAATCAGGGCCTTGCTACTTTCCTGGTGGATTCTCCCAAAACTTACAGTTTAAGCAGCAGCTGGTGGAATGTAGCACGTTCCAGCAACCCGATCAGAGTTGGAATGGGGTTTAAATAGAGTATAATACCCTATAAATATAATGGAGATCCAATCAGGGCCTTGCTACTTTCCTGGTGGATTCTCCCAAAACTTACAGTTTAAGCAGCAGCTGGTGGAATGTAGCACGTTCCAGCAACCCGATCAGAGTTGGAATGGGGTTTAAATAGAGTATAATACCCTATAAATATAATGGAGATCCAATCAGGGCCTTGCTACTTTCCTGGTGGATTCTCCCAAAACTTACAGTTTAAGCAGCAGCTGGTGGAATGTAGCACGTTCCAGCAACCCGATCAGAGTTGGAATGGGGTTTAAATAGAGTATAATACCCTATAAATATAATGGAGATCCAATCAGGGCCTTGCTACTTTCCTGGTGGATTCTCCCAAAACTTACAGTTTAAGCAGCAGCTGGTGGAATGTAGCACGTTCCAGCAAACCGATCAGAGTTGGAATGGGGTTTAAATAGAGTATAATACCCTATAAATATAATGGAGATCCAATCAGGGCCTTGCTACTTTCCTGGTGGATTCTCCCAAAACTTACAGTTTAAGCAGCAGCTGGTGGAATGTAGCAGCTGGTGGAATCTATCTATGTATATATCTACCTACCTATCATGTATGTATGTATCTATCTATCTATCTATCTATCTTTGTCTCTTAATATCTATATATATATATTTCTCTCATTTGTCTGTCTATCTGTCTGTCTGTCTGTCTATCTATCTATCTATCTATCTATCTATCTATCTATCTATCTATCTGTTTTCTGAGGTTTTCATGGGTGTTTGTATGTAGGTCTTTGGTTATTCGAGTTTTCTCCCGCGTAAAATTGAAAGTGTCTTGGCTTCCAATTTTACGCGGGAGAAAACCCGAATAACCAAAGATAGACAGACAGACAGACAGACCAGATAGATAGATAGATAGATTTCACCAAGGTTAATTCTAATCCCAGTTGTAGTCATAAGTAGAAATGAGAAGGCCTGGGGGGAAAAACAAACAGAAAAAAAATGGGGGGAAAAAACAGTGGTTTTCCAAAGTTGTTAGGAAAAAAAACAGAAAAAAAAACTTGCTTTTTCCCCAGGTTTTTTTCCCAATTTTTTTCCAGGCCTTTCCTAGCCCTTGTTCTGCGGCTCACAGCGGCTACAGGTGACCTGTCCAGTGAGGCTGAAATAAACTTTGATTAAAACTATCAAATACTTTCAAAATAACCTGGGAAGAGACGCACATCAGCCACAACATCACTGGAGCACAATGTCATTGGAAAGTAAGCGCCACACAGCACAGGAGCTGGGATTACAGTCCATACGCAGCACATCCCATGAGCGGGATAAGCCCAGTTGTCAAGTAAAAGCCTGTTCAGACATAAACTACGATTTGCCCATCCTTCAGCCAATAAGCTCCCATTCACAGAACCCAGGCCTGCTTCCCCGGGTTGCTGCATCAAGCCCACCATGCAGGCTGTGCTGCCAATCAGAGGCTCAGTTCAATCAATCAATCAATCAATCAACCAGAAGACAGCTGGAAGGGACCTTGGAGGTCTTCTAGTCCAGCCCCCTCCTCAAGGAGGAGACCCTCTACCATATCAATCAATCAGCTGGATGGGACCTTGGAGGTCTTCTAGTCCAGCCCCTGTTCAAGCAGGAGACCCTGTACCATTTCAATCAATCAATCAATCAATCAGAAAAGAGCTGGAAGGGACCTTGGAGGTCTTCTAGTCCAGCCCCTGCTCAAGCAGGAGAGCCTGTACCATTTCAATCAATCAATCAATCAATCAGAAAAGAGCTGGAAGGGACCTTGGAGGTCTTCTAGTCCAGCCCCTGCTCAAGCAGGAGAGCCTGTACCATTTCAATCAATCAATCAATCAATCAGAAAAGAGCTAGAGGGGATCTTGGAGGTCTTCTAGTCCAGCCCCTGTTCAAGGAGACCCTGTACCATTTCAATCAATCAATCAGAAAAGAACTGGAAGGGACCTTGGAGGTCTTCTAGTTCAGCCCCTGTTCAAGCAGGAGACCCTGTACCATTTCAATCAATCAATCAATCAATCAGAAAAGAGCTGGAAGGGACCTTGGAGGTCTTCTAGTCCAGCCCCTGCTCAAGCAGGAGAGCCTGTACCATTTCAATCAATCAATCAATCAATCAGAAAAGAGCTAGAGGGGATCTTGGAGGTCTTCTAGTCCAGCCCCTGCTCAAGCAGGAGACCCTGTACCATTTCAATCAATCAATCAGAAAAGAGCTGGAAGGGACCTTGGAGGTCTTCTAGTCCAGCCCCTTGCTCAAGCAGGAGACCCTATACCGTTCGGCTGTCCGGCCTCTTCTCCAAAGCCTCCAGGGATGGAGCACCCGCAACTTCTGGTGGCAAGCCGTTCCCCTGCTTCACGGGCCTCCCTGTCAGGAAGTTTCCCCTTCGTTCCGGCTGGCTTCGTTTTGCACGAGACCATTCACACGAGACGAGGTGGAAAACTCGCCCGCGCGAGGGGGGGCCACCGTGAGAACCCCTTTCCCCAGGCACAAAGTGGCCGTCTCCGCCCGCCCCGTCAAGCCCCCGCGGGCCGCCCCCTCCCTCGCGGCCGCCGCCCGGAGCCCCGCGGAGCCGCCGCCGCCTCCTCCCAGCTGCCCGGGCCTGGGCAGCCGCGGCCGGCGGGGCTCCTTCATCCCCCCGCCCGGGCTGCGGGGGTCGCCGGGCCGTCCCCGGGGCTCACCCAGAAGCTGTCCTTGAAGAGGGTCTCGCGCATGGCGGCGGCCGGGAGGGGCGGAGGGCTCGGCGAGGCTCCCAGCGCTTCTGGCCGTCCTGCCCGGGCGGCGGGGCTCCCCGCTTGCTCTCGCCGGGACGGAGGGAGGGAAGGAGGGACGGGCCGCCGGCTGAGTCTCCGCCCGGATGGCAGGGGGGTTGGGGAGGAGGTGGGGGAGGCTGTCGCTCCACCGACGGCTGGAGAAGAGGGCTCCGGTCTCCCCTGGGGGGGCAGGGGGGGCTTCCCCTCCTTCGCTGGACGGAGTGGGAGAGAGAGAGAGAGAGAGAGAGAGAGA